GCGGGGGCGGGGGCGGGGGCGCGGGATTCTTCTACCATTTGTATCACCTCCTGCTGAAACGAAAATGTTTGTGAAGATTTTTCATGATTTAACAAAAAATATCGTATTTCTTGTTAAGGAGCTATAAAATAAGAAACTGAAAAAAGTTAGTTTTTAAGCTTTATTATATATTATATAAAACAAATAGACAGCAGTGTCGTGCTCGTAATGTGACCATCTGCTACTGCTTATAAGTTAAATATATTTAGTATGTATGCAGCAACACTAGCATTAAACTTTATCAAAAATGACTTCTCTTTCTTCATAATGAGATACACTTACTGAAAATTAGTAGAACCTTTTATTTGAGATGGCAAATGCGATCCGGTAAGAACCTCAGTCGTATTATTTTAGACACTTTTTTGTGGAAAGTTTCTTTGGAAACAAAATTAAGGAGTGTTCTACTCGAAGACGCACACATGATCTAGATTTAAGGAAAGATATTCCAGTTTTGTTAATCGATACCGTATCAACAACTATATAAAAAGCTCCACATTGTAACGCAGAGTGAACCTGTCGTCGTCGGAGCCCGTGTGGACGGTGCGCGGCCTGGAGTGGGATGTGCGCTTCCGGCTGGCCGCCGTGGCCGTCAACGCCAAGGGCCGGTCGCCGCCCGCGCTGCTCGATGATGTGCTCTTCAGGGATCCCGAGAAACGAACAGGTGAGCCGAGTCTTTGCGTCACATAATGACCATTTCAGAACTTTTCAGCAACATGACGTAAATAGCAATGTCCGTATTTAATAAGGACATTACGTTATGTACACAACATTTTAATAATTGTATTATAATAGAAGATTTAATAAAAATTGGTAGTTCAAAAGAAATATTTAGTGAAGTGTTCCTAGTTTATTTTAAGTTATATCTTATCGTATTCATGGATATTTGTATATATATATGGGAATTTGTGAATTTTTCGTTAACTACGATAGCGTTGATGTATCGGCGGGCGTTGTGTGCGTTAGCTGACGTCATCGTATCCCAGCTGACAGTGATCTATTGCTACTTTTTAAACTATAAAAGTCCTGTTACCGTTAATTAATGTCTTACAAAATCATCCTCATCTCGTAGCCTTTGATGTTTTTCCTAAAGTTGCTGTAGTATAGTTATTTTTCTAAACCTGTTCTTAAATAAGAGAAATAAATTCCTACAGGTGGATTGTTCACTGTCGTAATACTTTAAACTAATAAACAATAATATTATGTGACGTCATTATATGATCAATATTATTATTTCAATTAAATTTGCATATATTTCAGGATAAAAATCTGAGTTTATCTCGACAATAAACATAAATCGCACTCGTACCTGTGTACACGGAATTTGCAACGATTCAATGATTTCTTTGAGCTTGAGTCGCGCCGCCAAGCCTCCCCCCCTCCCGCCCACCTTCCAGGCCCCGCGCAGCCCAGTGCCCTCTTCTATACAAGCTATTGTACTGATCACGAGGTATATTTGGGTTCATATATTTTGCATTCGATGCTTAACATATATAGTATGACAAGGATTACGTTGTATTTGAAGTTTTAACAGTACATTTTATTTTTGACCGTATTCGTTTTAAAGTGAAATTTAACACATATTTTAATTTATAAACGCTGATCCCTTTGCACATTTTTTAAAATAAGTAAGGAACCCTTTCATTTTCATCACTTTAATACAATATCCATTTAGAGAAATGTAATAAAACATAAAAGGCGTCGCGCCGCAAGTCGGCTGTCAAAATATATTATGAAGGTCGCTCGCTACAAATCAAATAAACGGATCGTTTTATGACTCGGGTTCCTCCATTCAAATAAAAATTTCAATAATGTCCCACGACATCTCGCCCTACGCCCAATGCCCAGCGCCTCGCGCCAAGCGCCTAGCGCCAAGCGCCTAACGCCAAGCGCCTAGCGCCAAGTGCCTAGCGCCAAGCGCCTAGCGCCAAGCGTCTAGCGCCAAGCGTCTAGCGCCAAGCGCCTAGCGCCTAGCACCTAACGCCTAGCGGTGTCCAATTTCGAGTATAGATGACAATAAATACATTTTTTATGTACTTCTATTGTACAGAGCGAGAAATGTTTATTAAAGTATGATAATTTCTGAATAGTATTTTTTAAATTTTATCATAAAAATATTTTAACACATGTTCAATGTATGTGTACATACATGCCTTATTATATACATTTCATACACATTTACTATGTAATGGTTCCACTCTCAAATATAATACCATGATGAAATTTGTAGCCGATATTAATATTAATAAAATGTGTGCTCAAGCCCGGCCCAGGCTGCGTGAACTGGGCCGGCGGCGCTCAAAGGCTGGACGCCCGATCTAATTAAATTATTATCGGCCGACACCAGATTGATGCGAACACTATTGTCCAGAAGTGCAAGGCTGTTGGCTGCTTCTTGCTTCTTTACATCTCAATCCTGACTCTTGCAGGGTTGCGACGAAAAGTAAAATTAGCCTTCCTTTATTTTATCCACTACCTCTTCCTTCTTGTGTATGTAACTGGTATACATTATGCCAGTACAGTAGGACTAATAGCACTGGCTTATTACGGACTGTTTTGGCTCACTGGCGCCAGTAAGTGTTTATTTGTGTGGCATGATGTTAATAGATAAAACTTGAAGTAGAAGAAGTAATAGAGTCCTATCGGCAGCATCGGAGAGCGGGCTAGGCGCGGGCGCAGCGGGCGCGGCGAGCGCCGGTGCGGCGGGAGCTGGCGCCGCGCTCGCTCTGCTGGCATGTGCGTGCCGCGCCGCTCGCCGCCGGCGCGCACCTCCGGCCAAGCCTGCCGCACCGCCCGCGCACACAGCGCACGCCGCGCATGCCGCCCGCACACACAAGCCCAGCGACCACGACGACGCCGAGCCAGACCTAATACCCAATAATTACTGTAAGTTTTAACAACTTTTTGTCTACTATTGTTTAAAACGATATAACCATAATTATAAGTTATATAGGCGCTGTAATAAAAATAAAATGAAAAAAGAGATTAAAAAGGTTTGTTATGTAAAGATATTATGTAAATATTTCATGAAGCTTAAAATTCAAAGCGCAATCAGTCTGTGTTGCATAAATGTGATTCGAGCGTCATAATTAACATATAATGTTTGCGGCGCGCTTTGTGCCGATGAAATATCACCCAAACTAAATGATAATGCGTTTTTCAAACGTGAATAAAATTAAAATGAAATCGCCAATAACATGAGCGGCGGCGCTAGCGCTAGCGCTGGCGCTGGCGCTGGCGCTGGCGCTGGCGTGCCGGCCGCCGATCGAAAACAGATTAACTGCAAATTGCAAATATCGTGTAGAAAGCGAAGGATGTGTTAAATGCAGCAATTCCGAGGGTAAACGTTTCGCGCGTTACCGAGTCAGTTTTTGCTGTAATAGTTAACACGTTCGTTCGCTGCATTACGCGCGCGCTATCTTCATTGCCCTTTAAATATATTTGTCGGATAACGCTCCCCAATCGCGGCTTTGATTGCATTAACGACCTCGTTCTCACAACACAATCATTTTAACTGGTGCATTCAATGCGCAGTTACATCTGTTTTTTGGTTAAATCTGAACATTGCAGACTGTACACTTACCTATTCACAATGGAATTTACCATTTACCTTCACCGAACAGGTCAGGACCTGTTCTCGCTACGTGACTCGGCCAAGGATAGCAAAAATTAATTGAATTTTTTAACATGCACCTCTTTTAAAAACATTTTTTACAACTTTAATTACATTATTTCAGTGAGGCGATGTCTGATTTTGTACAAGTTACAGTTTTTGTTTGGCCTTAAAACATTAATCAACGTAACGCTAGGAATGTATTATGAAGTCACGTGCAACAGCCACGCGCGTACTTAATGTCCATGTATGTATAAAAAGCTAGTATACAATATATAACATGATCCGTATACAAATTACAAAAAATATTAGTATTATATGAATTGAAATACAAAAATTATTGTTCTTTCCGAGAATATGTAATTAGTATTCACATTAAAATGAAATTTTCGTCACATTTAATTACACGCGCGTTTCGTTCTCTTTGTATGTACAACTCGTTTTTAATTAAACCGTTATTAATAATAAAAAGTCTTCGTTCTCCTATTTTTATATGTTTTACTACTTCGTGTTATTATTATCATGTAATTTACTGGATTGATAAGTTTTATTTTAATACTTTATAACTCTTAATTTAAGGGTCATTTTGTAAAGAAAAATGGAAACGACTCGGACCGAATGCATACAATTATAATTAGTACTTATTCATTTAATTGTTAAGCTACGTAATCTCTGTAGCTCCGTAGAATGCACGCCTTATGATCGGGCGCTACGTAAATCCGTCGTTAGTTTCGTAGCCAAAATGGCATTAGAGAATCTATCCGTTTTAAATCAAGTTTAAGTATCAAGGAACGAACGTAAGCGGTACTTAGTGAAGGGTAACTGCCGCGCGGATGTTTACCGCCTGCACAACTATAAGCACAACTCCCTGGCACATCCGCTCTCTCTTAGCGAATCCCGGGATCTCCCGGCGAATCACCGTCCCCGTCGCTAGGCAACCGCTTGCTTCTCGCTTTGCGTAACCGATGACTAGCTTGGACTTCAATAAAACGTCAGCTGCAAAGATTACGATTAGAATTTACTTTGATGCAATTTAATCATTTACCCGTGCTTTTTGTCCTATGTGAAATATTTAACATGTTCATATCGTAATGTTGTATGAAGTTATATACACATACGTTTATGGCTAACATATCAATTGCGACTACAAACACACATGCATTTAAGTTACGAATACATTTACAAGTTTCTGCTTGTCTACTTCTCAGTTGGCACTCTTTTATTCGTACTCGGGGAAAGGACGTAATCCAGTAAGTGTCGTGCTTTCTTAGTGGATATTTTAAAATAAAAACATATGAATTGCATCTTTTATAAAATGTACGTGGCAGTATGCAGAGTGAATTCGCCTGCAGGCTGAGTGCGCCGCCAGTGCCGGCAGCGGTAGCGCCAGTGCTATATAATTTTTAACCGAGATTCAATTCCCTACAATCAGGCTATTAAGTTAATAGAAACGTCGCAGTGGCGTGCGTCACGCGAGCGAGCGAATCAGCCGCGACGGCAGCGTGCAGGTTCGCGCGGGGCGAGCGGCGCGCTGCGGGCAGTCGCTCGCAATCGAATGCTTTCTGTTTCAAATCTTCTGACAGTTTTCGAATTTCCCGGTCCATTTTCTGACAGTCATGTCAAGTGACGTATGGAAGCGAACATTTCTGGTGCTGACGGCCTTCGTCCGCTCTAATAAAGCTTCAACTTGACCGCCATGACTGCAAGTCACCTGAGTCGAAAGCAGTTCACATTTTAGACCTTTTCAAAACTTATTTTTCAAACTTGACATGTCTTTCCAGGTTTGCGTTGTAGACCATTATTATACGATAACTTATTTGACTGATCATATTTAAGTCATGAAACAACTTCGTAATGTAGAGCTTAGATTACGTCCATACGATTACACTTGAGATCATAAAGCGATGTGTTAGCGAATGTAACCAACAATCTACTTCATCTCATTGTTATGTATTAGTGATGTAGTGCGCATCGCGAGGCGGAGGCGGCATTTGTTTAATGTGAGCTATTTGTGCGAGTTGTGTAGCGCTACCAGAGCTCTCTTGTAGAGGGCGATTATTGAACATAACCACCTCCTCTGTGCCATACATTTCTTATATTTACTCTTATTTTGTATTACGACAACATTTGGGAGATAATACGATGGTTTGTTTGAAATAAGCAATCTATTTTTGATTATACTGTTACAGTCTTCTTAGAACTTTCTTCTGATATAACAATATGGTTTCGGTCTAATTCTTAAAATAATTTTTAAATGGTAATTTCCCAGGGATATTAACGGTTACGACTTATTTTTTATTATACTTTGACACTCAAAGACAATAGTAGACAATTTTAGTAATGCATAAATTTTTATATTTATTTTAAAATTAATTTCTTAACAGTAAGTAAGTATGAGAGCATTGTCGGCTACCGGGAGATCGGCGAAAAGGCGATTTCGTTAAAGACGTCTCACAGATGTTCCGCTTAACGCTGAGATTTTCACGCGAATAGAAATGCTTCCCAAAAGTACTTAAGCTGTTAAGGCTCGGAGGCTCCGCCGCTACGCCGGAGCCCGAGGATTAACATTACAATATTCTTTACCTTTTTACTACGAGATGGAAGACGCCTACAGTTGCCTTTTGTACAAACGACGACACGCGTTATGTTAAATCAATTTAAACGATTCACTTTTTTTTATTTATCATCTTAATTATGGAAAAAATATTTTTACAACTCTTTAATATCCACGATTCTCTTATTGAAACATTGTATATGTAATCTTGTATTATGCGAGCGTGTCGTGTAATGGCTAACATAAGTACTAATTTTATGAAATAAGTAGTGATTAAGTCCCGCGCCAATGCCGACCCTGGCACCGCCACCGCCACTGAGACAACGTCAGGCGATCGCGACCTGTGAGATAACAGCGCCCTCTCGCTCTCTTCACCTGACTTAATTTCGTCACAGTCCGTGTCACTTGAGTCGCATCAGAGCGCGCCTCTCCCGCTCTAATCATATTGATCAGTTCACGTAGAAGTAATACGTGTTTATATATTTATTGCGACTAGTTTTTTACTACGGTATCGATTGCTATTTTTAATGAAATATAATGTTTATTTCGATTGCATAAGACATTGCTGCATTATTATACAATTTACAACAGTCTACGAATATTTTATACAAACGTTTATGTGACAAATAATGTAATGGACAGTATGTGTATCTAGCGCTCTCCGGCGCGACACATTTTTGGACAAGCACCAAGTCTATAAGTGAGGCGGTTACAACTCAACTACGAAGCTTGCGTCTCCAATTTATCTTTTTAAAGGAATAACGGTTTTCATTATAAACATCGGGCGATAACAATTTTTTTCTGATACAATTTTGTGAATTTATTATATATGATATATTTCGTAGGTATTATGACATACAAAAAAACAAAAAAATCTTATTTGCTTGTGGCGTAGAAATGACAGGACGTTTTGTAATATAATTATGTGTATCGTGTAGTGTAAGAGAACAAAGAAAGGTTACGAGAGTCCGGCTTCGTATCACATCGTGAGATCGCCGACCTCAACAAATTGAGGTCTGCTCCTCCGCCGACCAATGATTTAAACATACATACTTTAGACTTCTCTTTTTATTGTCATAATAATATTTTGATTAAGTTTTTGCTTTATTTATTTAATATTATCTGAGGTCGTAATAAAATAGAAATGTTCATGATAAAACGTAAGTGGTGTAGTGGAGTAGAGCGCGCGGCGAGCCGACTGCATCTCCGCACTTCAACTATACTCAAATACAACTCCTTTTAAGAAATCATTTTTTAAATTGGAATGTTTCTTAGATTCCCATCAAAAATATTCAATTTAGATACGATTCATACTTTTGTCTAGTTTAGTTCAGCTGTTCGCCTCATGTGCCGTGGTATATATCATGCATTATATTTCTACCTGAGTTCACTGATATTATTTACTATCGCTACTTAATATTAATAGAAATTTCTAATGGAAACTTCATATCCACCAATACATGGTTTGCTTAAAAAAGCTCACTTCCACCTTTTCTGTGTTCTTGTATAACTCTATGAATATATTAAAAATATGTACTTTGCCAAAGAAGTCAGAATTTCGGCGTTGGAATTCTACAGTAAGGATTTGAGATTAAAACGCTCGAGTCTGCTCAGAAAAAGATTAAGATTGTAGTTGAAAATAACTCCGCATAAAGGCGTCAGTAGTCTAGTCTGCCGACATTATAGCGCAGCATCAAGTTATGACTGTATTTAACGTTTGAAAAATTCAAAAGCAACTTTTAATGTGAGAACTTAATAAAAAATGTAAAGCAAATGTCGGTACTTTTATTAACTATCTACTATCCTATAAAATGAACGCAAAGAGATAAACTGAACCTTTCATCAAAACTATATATTAAAGAAAGGAAATTTTCAGTTTTATCCATCTACCCCCCATCAACACTAACATAATATTATTTCAGACCGTTGTTTAAATCAAAATTAGAGGATCAAATGTAAAATATTAAAATAAAACTGAGTGAAATCTCTAATTCAGTGCAACTTACTCTCACATACGTCAACTTAAAATCGGAGCATACTTTTAAAAAGTTTCTCTCGTTACCCGCACGTTTCAAAGATACAAAGTAAATAAAAGGTTGCAGGCGCTCTCGAGAGCGCTACTTCGCTAACATGAAACTTTTTACTGGAACTGGAATAGACTTCATCTCGTCGAAGACAGCGCGCATTACTCCTTCCTTCCTATTTCATCGCGCACACACACCATATTGATTTTGCCGCGATCTGTCTCTCTCACTTTCTTCCCAGCGATGGAGATGTTCCAACATTGGTACAATAGCCAATATGTCACTGTATCACGTATTCTTGTTTGGATTAGTAATATTAATAGATTCTTTTTCGATAGCTATTTAGAAAGTAACTATAGGGAAAATGACGAATATAAGAAGTAAGTCTTAAAGATGGCAACATTCTTGATCAATTGAAAAGGTAATCATAGTGCACACTACAGCGTTGTTATTAAATCGAGCTTCGCCAATTTTGTAAAAAAATATCTACTGACTTCTCCTAATTTTAATTAAAGCCCAAAATGAGCAGTTTTTGCTTTACAATTTGAAAACAGTGCAGCAGCTGCGATACACATTCTTGCGCTATTGTTTGCTTCTTCCATTATTCCATGTTTTGTGTTATGAATGATTTGCAAGTATTGATATTGTACATACTTCGAATATGAAGAGATAATATAGATTTCTAACAAGCCTTTTGAAATTATTGTTTTATAATGAACGTGGAACATAGAAGGCTGAACTGAGAACTAAACGCATATTGCAACAAACGTCCAAACACTACAGCTACAGTTTACTTTCCTTCTTTTGTAAAAATGTATCATCGTTACATTTACAAGTCACAATAACTAAGTATTACAAACACAACACTTTATGTGTCATTTCTTCGCTTTCAGAAAACTCTCTCTTTGTCTATATAGACAAGACATTTATTTCTCACAATAAAATTTTATAATAAAGTGTATTGGGATTTGAAAAACAATATTGTGAGAAAGTGATGTATCATTTGAACGCGATATCTTCGCGAGCAAATATTTTCTGGTTAAAACACAAGGTGTTATTAGCGGAATGGAAGCAATTTTCCTCAAATAAAACTTATTAGATATCGCACCCGAATGGAGAGGGGCGCCTGCGGGGCAGCGCGGGCAGCGGGGGTGTATGTGAGACGCATAATTTAGCCCTCGCCAAATATTGTTCTGAAAGCTTGTAATGGAGCACCTTGTAGTAAAAAAAAATAATGATCGCTTCACTTAATATTATAAACAGAATGGAAACCGCTGTATTCTCTGTTCAAAGCAATTCAACAAACTTATGTTGGTCCGTTAGAAGTTTGTCATTTTTCCATAAAACATATAACACAAAGTAAATTATTTGATACGTTTTATTTTATTGCTACAATATAAATCTACTTTTTCAATTAAAAATAATTAACATCACGTCAACTGCATATTGTTTTATGTTTTTTAAATTAGATTAAATTATAATTAATCCCCGTTAGTATGCAGTGTGTAGTGGAGAGCAGGCTGCGCTCCACGAAGCCGGCCGGCGCTGCTGCGGCGACGGACACCGACCCATGAATAAGATAAAGCGCAACACTTGTCCGACGTTTAAATAACGTCAAAATTTAAGCCGGCCGAAAGTGTTTCCCTGAAGTACTTGAGCTTTTAATAGCAAATACGCCAGAGCATAGATTAATATAAATTGCAGAGGTTTACTCTGCGGCATGGAGATAATGTCTACTAAGTGATTTGTGAAATATTCGACTCGACGTGATTTAATTAAATTGGGGGTAAAGAACAAAAAAAAGTCTCGACTGCTTTGGCATAATAAAGTTTATTTTAACTTACGATATGATATAATATACGAGCAGCATCTCCGCTCTACGCACCAGATAACGGAAGCCTCGCGGCGACGGATTAATCGTATTGATCTCTCCCTATCTTTCCAATCTCACAATTTCCTTATGCTGTATTGAAAACTTATAAACTAAGCCGGGGCCCGCATTTCTCATATATCTATCATAAAAGTATCTAGATTAATATAGACGAAGCAGATGTAATATAATTATGGTGTTTCAATTACTTTAAGGTTATCTTTTAATTACTAGAAAGGATATATAGAGTTATAATAATATGGATACTGTTCATGTTTATGATTGATTAAAAAAAAACTACAAAAACGACTTATTTCTTGATCGCAATACAGACAAGTGTGCGTGCGCGCACACACAAACATAACGCTACCGTATTTATATTCACCACAATCACAATGATATTTGTACGTACATACTCTCCGCGCACTCCTCTCCTTCACGTCGCTGCGTGCGGACATTTTCATTTATAAAATGACTCCTAGTATTTTGTTTGTAAAAATGATTGTGTCCATGTTTTTACAGTGTTTTATAATTTGTTAATAACTTTATCATTGTTGAGTGTAACTTTTTACATCATAATTATCATGCATTAAAGATCGAATGAGTACACTACATTACTTTTTGATCTGGTAATATAAAATAAACCTGTATAAAATATGAAATTATATGAGAAATGAAAAACAAAGAAAGAAAGAAGAAAACATTGAATAGTGTACAAGTTATGAGCTAATAATATCAGGATATACAGGATGTTAAACTAATAATGTCAATTCAATTTTGGCAGGTGAATCATCGAGCGCGCCGGCTCGCAACACGCCCTCCTCGCTGTCAGCACCGCTCGCCGCGCCGCTCGTCGTGCCGCTCGCCACGCCGCTTGCTACGCCCGTACGTACAAATTCACAATTTACACTGCTCCCTTAAAGTGGTGGAATGTCTGCTCTATGTTTTAGTGGAGTTTACATCAACCAGTATTTCATTCGTCTCAATATTTGGTAATATTCACTTTACAAAATGTCAACCTTTTTGTATACGAACGTCTTTCCAACTCTTAAGAACCTTTTTACTTTCCTTATTTATACTCCGTTGATGTTATTTTTGTTGTCCTCGAATGGTTGTTGTTCGCGGGAAGAAAAGATTTCCTTCTTCTTAAGACTCTTATAAAAAGGAAATAAAATAGCCACCTCCCGAATAATGCGACGACGGCTGAGCTTGTCTTTTCATAAACTGTTATTCTTTCACGTATTCTCTATTTGAATAAGTTTCACTATATTCCTTTATAAAATGTATTTATTTATAACGTGTACTTAATATTTTTAATTACATTATATGATAGTACACCGAGTTGGCAAAGCACAAAGTAATATAAAGTCCTTACTATATGTTATTTACCTCGTACAGTTATGTAATAACTAAAAATATAATTACATGTTCTAAATAGTTTTAATTTAAATTGTTTCGTCAAAGAACTCAAAACGTTATTCTTTTCAAGGACACAGTGAAGGCATTCTCCAAAATGAGGTCGCCATTTACGCGATAGCTTTCGTATTTTCAATATTTTTGTTTAGTCATGCCGGCAGATAATGGCACTATAATTCTATACGCAATGCGTAAAAAGAAGCGCCAAGTGACGGCTTACACACAGCGAGCAGAGAAAAAATTCATATTTTATCCTTTTCCGCTGTTACATATGTTCTTGGAAACTGCCCATTGACACTCCTTTAGCGTGTCTATCTAAAGTTAGTTTCAATTTGATATCAGCGCTAGAATAAGAGATGCGCCGATATTCCGATACCGAGGCAGTATCGTGCGGACACCGCGGCCACTCCCGCCACTCCCACACTAAAATAAACTGGAAACGCTTTGCCGACTGATTGGATGGATACATTTGAGCCATTGACACACTTATATTGTGTCTATAAATATCGTGCACTGTGCCACTTAATATTTCGTACAAACAATAACTTATTTGTTTGATACGAAGAAGTAAAAATATATATAAAGGTGATTAGCATTATAAGTTTTAATATAATAGACGCTTAGAATGTGAGTGTTGTGTGTCAGGTGAGCACGTGGGCGCCGCGCAGCGCGTCGGGCTCGCTGCGCGCCGCGGACCTCAACGTAGACGCCATCAAGGAGAAGCTGCTGGACAATCGGATCCCTGAATCCTGCGTCTAGTGCGCGCGCCGCCGGTGGAACGCCGCGGGCACATCGCGATCACATCGCTTCTACGTCGCGTGAATGTCGCGGAATTCGGCTTGTTTTGTATCCAAAACACTGTCCTATGTAAATTACATGTAGATAGAGCCCTTTACCGATGAGGTTATTCGTCACGACTCTTCCTCCCCCCTTACACTACCGAGTATCCGATTTTGCCAAATTCTCCAATTCGATCCATCCCTGAAGTAAATCTTTTTGATTAAATGAAGCTGTTGTTGCGGAATTGGATACTCTCGACGTGATTTTGTAAAAATCGAAGACTTTAAACTGTAATTTTGTTTTAAAAACTCTTTGTGATGTAAATAATAGGTTGTAAGCGACTGATTCTTTGCCACTTTTTTACATGTCTAAGAACTCTAGATAATATTATTAGTTAATTAATGAAACATCATGTGAATGGAATCGTCGTGATCTGTATAAATATTTAATATTTTTTTTTTGTAAATAGAGTTTGTACTTGACTTTGATAGTTTAAGTCGGCTCGAGAAAGTCGCCAATAGACAAAGTGATGTCGGTAGAGGCGCAGACAGACAGCTCTCCTTACAATTTGTCTTCAGCTAAAGAAGTAAGAAATTCTTTCCTTTCACCGCAAACGTTAATGGCTGGGGGTCATGTTACAACTACACCCGTTTCGTTATGTTGCACAAGGCGACTGTGTTAACTATGTACAAAAATCAAATATTTACCTTGACCTCATACAGACTTATACATATTAGTATATAGCTATGTGTACATACATATCGTGTCAAGTATGGAGACAAAGTGTTGGCTTTACAATGGTGTCCAACACTCAGACTCGAGCAGTAACATGTTAAAGTTGTCCAAAGTATTCAGATTAAATATGAATTTGTTTGACATATCATGTTGTTTCCATACGTTGAATATTGAAGTGGCTGCGTTTTTTCACGCAGACCGCAGACACACATATCGTTGTCAATCATATCAAGACGTAGGCGCAGGAGCAGGCGAAGGCGAAGGCGCTCTCGAGGCACGATCGATGTCGACCGACTGATCTTGGTGGGAATAGCGAATTAAAACTATCCTTTAGGTAATTTAATTTGTAAGTAATAAGTGATTTGTTATTATAAAGTTTAAACAAACTCAAAGAGTTCGCCCTACTGTTGACTTATTTATTTTTGAAGAGAATAAAGGTTGTCTTGGAAGAGAATGTGTGTTTTTATAACCAATTTACAGAATATGTAAACGACCTACAATACTGCTTTAAATGAAATAAATTCACTTTGCTTTTGCTTCTGTTAAAATATAATTTAAGGTTACAATAATATTTTCTTCTGTAAGAAGAGAGTTAACTTTTAATTATCAGAAAAACTGTTTTCGCCCCAAAAAAATAAGAGAACGTTAATTTATTTTATAAAAGAAGGGGGCAAACGTCAGCAATACCGAGGTGATCGTAGACTCCCATAGAAATCTACAATAATAGAGCAACTGCAAAAGCTTTGCCCGTCTTTGAAAAAGAGATAGACTCGCTTCTTAAGGGGCACAAATTCATAGTGGTTTGAAAATACCGCCGAGGACAGATCATTCCACAACGCAGCTGTGCGAGGCAGGAAGTTTCTCGCAAACCTCACGGTTGTGATTTGCCAGCCATCCAGTTGAAGTGGATGGGAACACGAACTTGTGCTGCGGCTCCTGAATCCATTTTATACGGTACATCATTTAATATTTTAGCTTTCCAGCCATAAATTACACAACTAGCATTAGATCCAAGGAGGATAAATCTTTATAAAAAAGTAGCAAAGACAAGAAAGATTCTTCAAAGCAATAAGGTCTAGTTTGGCTTGGTGCTATTGCTTTGTTTTGAGGGTAAGTGGATAATAATAGGAAGGGACACGAGGAGAGTCGTTAGGGCGGCGCCGCTGAAATGAATCATAATAGCCCCCGCGGATAGCGGCCTGCGCGCAAACCTTAAATAATGTAAACGGCTATAAGATGTAAAAATGCGCTGTCATTTTTGTGCGGGAAAAACTTTTTTCTTCATAGTGAGCTTAAATTTATTTTAGCCCTTTTTCCTTAACAAGTATGCGGTAAAAGATGATACGGTTTGGTAAATAAACGTAATATATACTTACGCAATGCTCGCGAGACAACATTATGTAACTAAGTCATGTTCTGTTTTGTACAAGTGAAACATTTGTGCTGTTGTTTTATAATATTACTCGTAATGTTGCTCGTTAACTCTGTCTAATTCTTAATGAACAAGGAAAGTGACAACTTACCATATGTGCTAAATATTGCTAGAGAAATCATTTATTCACGTGTTGTATAAAAAACAATATAAGGAGCAGTTGCGGTGACGTGGTATTTTCGGAAAACTTTGAATATAATAAGCAGCTACTTATTTAGATATTGCACAATAATAACAAATAAGTATAGCTAAGTTAATTTATTAAAATATCCTCTTTTTACTTTATACATAACCCTACTTTAATTTTAATTAAATAAAAATTGAAAAGATCGATTAGCGATCAGCGTCTAAGTTTATATTATATTTAATCCAGACTCAGGTCAACTCCCACCGGACGTTTCACCGAAGTACGAGTATGTTTCTTCGAAGGGTCGATTGAAGCAAATATTTTTAGTTAGAATTTAACAAATACACCATTACTAAGAAAACACAATATAAAATTGTTTATTTTTAGAATTTCACTTTGAAATTGGCGTTAATTTGTCTGGGAGGACAGAAGAGGCGTGTGCGTGAGAAAAATCTTTATGTCGTATTCTATTTATCTGTGACCGCATTTCTCTTTCGCCTCATAATCGTAAATAAATTGTCCGAACATTTATTTAATCCCATTCGCAAAATCCGATCCAAAAAAGGCGTTTTAGTATCTTTATTTGCCATTGAACACAACGAGGGCCAGTCTAATGGATTTGGGCTAAAATACGGTTTCGATAACCCAGTGGAGCGCGGCCAAGCTGGCGGGCAGGAGGGCAGGAGGGCAGGCGGGCAGGCGGGCAGGGGATACACGCGGCTCACTGCCTCGACTTATTATTACTACGCTAAGCCCACACCACACCAGACAACTACCCTTTTACATTTAAATAAGTTTACTTATAATACTAAGTAAGTACAAGAAAGTGCAAAAGTACGTGCGTAAGTGTTTGCCATCGATGACATCATAATTTGTTCAACGTTGTAATATCGCATAGCTGTAGAAGTCAAAATGTATCCTACAATTATTTTGGTGCGTAAACTAATGTTTACAGCCATCGTATTCTTAAGTTGACGCTAAGAACGATTGAACACATCAGGGTATGTCAGATAGAATAATAAATAGTAGTAGTAAACATATTACTCGGTCAATTCCGCTTTCATCAATAGTTAAGACGACAAGAGTGCGTATATACATAGTTGGAACAATGAAACGCATCGCATCAAAGAGGGCAAGTGGACGCGGGATTACCATAACGAACAGCTGTGTACAAAACAAATATTGAAATTCCGAGTTTAAATGGAATTTTGATTTGATTTCTTTACGGCAAAATTTTAATTTCAAATTATACCGAGATGAAAAATCTCGATCAGACCATCAAAAGTTTTGCGCCGGCCGGAGCGGGAGCAAGAGGGCGGGGGGGGGGGCACGCCTCAGCCGCGGATTTGTGCAAATTTGTTTCAAGTAAGAACGTTCTTATTGGTGGTTCTTAAAGTTGTGTGGATATAACAGATGTATTCTTGAAACTTCGTCTGTATTATGCATTTATGTAGTGTTATTTGAATTACATATATAATATATAAAACAAGTTTGAATGTACATAATCATGAGACTGTTACAGAGATTTGGTGTTACGAACAGTGACGGCTCATATTAATTAAGTTTATAATAGCCGTTACTGTTGTGTACTAAGTTTTTGTACACATGTTTCAGCGGTGAAAACTCAATGTAAACTCGTGACGTAAATCAGTGAAAAGCAAAAGTCGCGCGTGATGCTTGCGACCAACGAACCGTTTATGTTTAAGTGTAATTCCCAAATTAATTTAACATACAAATAACATTTTTACAACGTAAGCGAGTCCCCGACGAGAAATTATTCGCCCACGTACATCAGACGGCGAACGTGAAGGAAATTATGTGTCAGTCGCAGATCGCGCTCGAGTGCAACGCAGGACCGAGTTCGTACGACACGACACGTCCCGCTCGTGCCCGGGCTCCTGCGGCAGTACCCGACACACACGACACGACACGAAACCTCGCACTCCTGCGCGACGACTGACAAGTCACGACGCACGTCACGTCACGTCACGTCGCAATCCCACAATGTTACAAATTAATATGTCATGTCACTCAACATGAGAACATGCCGCATACTTAATTCAACATACAATGATTGCTGATTCTTATATCCATTTATTTACAACATATACATAGCTACTTAAATAGTATTTACGATTTTATTTTTCATTTCTTTCTTTTCTTTATTTGAGCAAAGCTTTATGCACATATAAAAAATATTAAAACATCATTTTTAAACAGGAGTTTGTGAGAGCTGCTTTCTTTACGTATTGCAGACTATTGAAGAAAAGTTTCTGAACAAGAGCGTAAAATTTTGCTAACAAAATACGGTGCTGTCATCAAATTTTATGGCAAAATAAAAAAGACAATAATCTGTACATTTTTACAGACTTCAGTGAAAATACGAAATGAGAACGATTGTATATTTAATGTTAGTACCAACATCGACTTCTTGTCTTTTTTTAAATTCAAAACAATAAAAACAAGTTTTATGTTTTGCAATAAATTTAGCTAAACAGCGCAACGATAACTCTAAAAATTGAATTAGCGCTTAAAATTATAGTACTACGACTGAAAGTATGAAATGGTGTAGTAACAAGCAAGCTGTTTGATATGTTCATGTTTTTTATATTTCGTTATGAATATCGACAAATTGTACAATGAATATACGTAGGTATGTCGGAGAACAGGTGAAACTTGATTTATTCTGCCCTATGTGTTGTTTTCTTTTCGTATCTATATTTTCGTATGCCTTCACACATTGGTTATCAGAACCAGTTGACCTAATGCCCACCAAGAAAACTTAGAACTTGTATACTTACTATAATGTTTACCCTGATTATCAAAAAATGTACGTTGGCAGCGAATACATTCAAATTTCACTTTTGAACACGAAAAGAAAATACTCAGAAATTCAGAAAATTTACCAGTACAATTTCCCACAAAAAAATATTAAAAAATACACCGTAATTTGTACATATATAATAGAACGTATGCCAGTGAATATATATATAATGCATAAGTATTATGTGGTGATTCGTATAAGCGGCAGTGACTGAAGCAGAGCGCGTTCCCTCGATGGTTTCGAGAAGCTCTCCACGAGTGGGGCAAGTGATTGCGCCAGTGGCGGCTAAGGCGACGTCATCACATGTAGGCCGCACATACCTACTGCCATACATATATGTATCCTATGTAAATATATACTATAGTGTGCAATTAACTCATTATGTCATTCTTTCGAAACATAACTAAGCTTTACTTCAAAATTATGTGTGTTTGACTCTGATCTACGACGTTTATTTAAGACAAATTTAAGACGCGTACACTCGGAGAATTCTTTTTAAATAGACGTTAATTTATTAAGCTTATGGAAAACGAATCGTCAAATGAGAACTCCACGCGAGCACGAGAGACCCGCGCCCCTCGATCCCCTCGCCCTCGCAAACATACTTATGATTGATTTCGTTTATTGAACCAAGAAGAAATATTTACCATTCGCTTTGCGTCGCCCCGCACTTGATTACATCGCCTCGCTTATACAAAGTTATGTTCACGTCACATATGTTAAGAGGTTCATTAAGTCAGAAATCTGTGTTAACTTTTTACACATGTTCATGTACAAATCCGAAATCTTAAAAGATTAGATTTACATATGTCCCCACTTTTACGGATTTCATGCTCGAACTGTTATCAACACAAAATCAAAATCTTCTCGTCGTCCCTCGTTTTTATATTTGTGTAAGATATTATTAATTATATAAATACATTTTCTTGGTAGAAGTTTTGCACAACACATGCATTTACTTTTAATAAAACTCTGAGTAAACACACGATATTTGAACTAAATGTAATATACTAGCGCCTGCATCCTCGGGACACGTAATTTCTTTTACGGACATTTAATTTCC